TGGAGGAGCGTTCCATATTCGGGACAACCTTACTAAGTAAAACGTTAGGCAGTCTCATGGTAGACACCATTATCCACTGTTGCATGGACCAAGGGCTTACAGTCCGTGTTTGTATAGGGAGGTGAAACTATCCCATAACCATATTGGTCGCCTTTCGTTATTGAGTTTCAATCTCGTCCACACCAAATTTGCACCAGGTTGCGATGATTTCATTGCATTTTCCACATTAAGTCTCCCGTAAGTGTCCGGCATTGGTGAAACGATATATCCCAAGCTTCTCCAAGCCTTTCTTTAAATGGACAAAACGCTGACTAGCTCTTTTCAATGTTCAACCGGTCTGTTATGAACATGCACTATCACCCTGCGAAGTTACTCTGTGATCGCTTTTCTGTGTTGCACTGACATTGCATCAGATCCTCACTTATGCGTTACTTGTGGTGCCTTGTTTCATCGTGGTCAATTGAGTTTGACTTACTGGCATGGCGCATCATACTGACTCCGTTAGATTGGACCTCTATTAATTAACACAGAGTCCCATTTTTGGGTCGTCTAGCTGCTTATCTTTGATGCGGCTTACCTCCAATTCAGGCATATTGGCGCATATGACGATCAGAAAATCACGATGTTATCTGGTGTTCTACTTGTAGGAGGAGTGTGTGGTTGGTTTCTTTGGTCGGACAACGGATCGCAGTTAGGTCTCTCGGTATTATTGACGACACTAAGTGCACCTAGTTTGGCATACGTCGGACTGCAATAAACAGTTTCCGTATCAAGTGGGGCAACAACGGACGCGCATTTCTTCGGTCCTTTATCTGAATTGGATGTACCGCGTGGCTATAATTAACAACTTGCTACGAACTCGTAATTAAGAGCAGCTCCTTGTTGCATGCTAGAAGTCAGGAGGTCTTTGCTTTTACGCCCGGACTGGCTACTCTTCTCTAAACGATGGACATCAAGTTCGAAGCTCAATTTTGTATGGATACAAGGGAACAATTATTACGGCGGATGGAAGTTGGGTATTGTCAGCCCGAAAAGACTGCGCAACCGCAGCGCTTTTCGATGTAATTTCATCTCATCAGGTAGAGACAGCAGGCCTCGAACCTGTGACCATTGTAATAGTAACCGAAACCTCTACCCATTTGGCTACCAGGTCAAGGCGGGCAACGCTTGGCTCAACGGTAAATAACTAATTGGAGGGTTGAGTTTGGACTACACGTTGTGTGATTGGATTGCGACGCGCAGTCTCAATGTAATGGACCGTAATTCACATTGAAGTGAACCTTAGTCACTGCGATCACTGGGACCGTACTCAAAGCAGATGGAGTTGGGGATTGCCCGCCCGGCTACTATTCCAATGGTCGCGTGTTCGAGGCCTGCTGTCTCCATCTGATGAGATGAAATTACATCGAATCGCGTCGTGGTTGTGCAGTGTTTTCGGGCTGGCAGTAGCCAACTTCCATCCGCTTTGAGTACGGTCCCAGTGGTCGCAGTGACTAAGGTTCACTTCAGTGTGAATTACGGTCCATTACATTGAGATTGCGCGTCGCAATCCAATCACACAACGTGTAGTCCAAACCTGACCATCCAATTAATCATTACGGCTGTTGCTCACCCAGCAATCTCACCACGTATGTCGCACTTCCGCGTTAGGACAGCCATACACCAGATGAGTAAACAAGCCGTACATTCTACGCAGAATCAAATGGGAACGGCCGCTCAGTGCTACGTCAGTGCAATTGGTATGTAATTATTTACAGCGACTAAAAGATGCTATGCCAATTCGCAAATTCTAAACACTGCATGCCGTACGGTAATAAGCATTTAATTGCGATGCTTTATGCTTAGTTTTCCGTGGACAGTCAATGCGTGCCATAGTGATTGCCAATTTAGTTAAATTTCTAGTAGTGTCATTTGCCACGGAGCCTATCCCATCAGGCTAATTCCAAACCTTTTCGCTTAAGCTGGCCATTATTCATTGAGTAAGTGGGGGCGCAATTTGACACCGCTGCTCATAAACTCCCAGAAGAAGCAAACTGACAGGCGACCAATTGCCTGGATGTGTCGGGGATTTTCGTGACAATGATTTCGCGATCTTGGCGACTGACTATATGATGGTCAGACGAGGAGTTCAGTTCAGTGTTGTTGCGTGTGGCGCTGTGGACATAGATGCGCAAAAATCGGTTCCACTAGGGCCTGCAACTACCGCACATAAGGTCGGATATAGATGACAGCTTATTAAAGAGTCCTGAGTGTGTCTATTTGAACAGAAAAACATGCTTGTATGTTTACCCAGAAGGCGATGATTGTGCGTTAGTTAAAACGAAAGCCCCTTTTAGATTATAAAGTCGAATGAGGTGATGAACCGAGGCAATAACTCCTGTGTTTGAGGATCCAGGAGATAGAGCAGCTAAACTGTGGCTGAATTAGTGTAGAATGTGTATTTTCCACTAAGAATCCGACGTAGGTATTCGCGACATAAAGCCACCGAAACTGTTCATACGTACGCGAGTGACATGACAGTCTTCCAAGTACATCACTCTAATAAGTAACCTTCTACACGAAAGAAGGTTGCACACTTTGATAGTATTAACAGACGGTGTTGTGTAGCCACCCGGGAATCAACAACAATACCTGGGCGGCGATTACAAAATTTTAATGTGAAGATTTAGTGTTATTTATAGAATACATAACTATTCTGCTGTGGTCCGCTTCCACAACTGGCTGTTGTTAGCTGTCCTGTAAACTGGGATATATTCCATTGGTTCCAGTTCACTTTCCAGCCAAGTCGCATCACGTTGACCAAATCCAGAGTTACATTGGGCTTCTTCGCTGCCACTCTGGATAGTGCACGATCGGGTTTCATGCGTAGCTATCTGATTGGTCATCCGTCTATCTGGGTGACGCTCCATCAGCTGTCAAGCTTCCACGGCGGATCAGGTTGTTTCTCTGGACATAGGCGTATGCCATCTGATCGCAGCATGGCGGACCAATTCGTTTCTCAGCTGTCCGAAGGAAAGCTGTTTCTCCCTTGCACTCGGCCGTACCCGTCATTCGCGCCCACCTCTCGTCGTTGACGTCTGGTTGGGTCCCGGTCCAGAGGTACCGCAATAATTCCATCCGATCCAATTCTCCACCACCATCACAGAAGGCACAGTTAAGTAGCAATCGACCTAAAGATGACTACTTGCTCATGCACAGTCCGACGCACGCACGCGGTAGCAGCACCATCCTGACAGTCCAACTATGCAAATTGTCTGAACGGTACAGCTGCTTGTAATGCGACAGAAATGTCTTTCTGTTTATGCGGACCATCACTGAACTCGCTGTCCAATTCATACGTTTCCGCATCGTGGTTTGTCGTATTTTAAATGCGATTGGCTGATGCATTTAACCACCTACATATTTAGCGCTTAGTATTGTGGCTCTGTTTTACTAGTAGAAAAAACCTTGGATTTACTATCCCTTACCTACTCGTGCTTGTAACTAAGAGGGGAGCCGAACTACCGCGTCACAGACACATAAAACGATTACTCTTATTTTCGCCATCAATAGTATTAACTTTCCTCTTATTTTAACGTTTCCAGCAGCTATAGCAGACCAACCAACGGGACTTGTAAAGCAATGCTTCTTAACTTGTACACACGCATTACTCGTTGTTCACGCCATCGTAAATCAAGTTGCGGCTTATTAGGTGAAAATTTTCTTTCGGGAAAAACATCATTTCCTGCGTCATGAGGAAGTCGATACGCGAGCGTGACTGATTGCTCCGAGGCACATCCGTGTACCTCATCTAGCCAACTTTTAACATTTTCACCCTACACGGATTTGGTTACAATTTGGCCATTGATTGCATCAAGAAAATCCAGCACACCCATTATTCCTTCCGAACAGAATTAGTTCGTTCATGGAGGTAATGGGTGCTTATTGGTTATTTGTGTGTCAATAGTTGTAGCGTATTATGTCCACATTGGACACTGATTTCTGTCACTTGTTCACCCCTAGAAAAAGAATCGAAATTTCGTGGCATTTCTCAACGAACTGGCCAGATGAAGCACCTATAATGGTCTGTGAACATGAAAGCTTCCATGAGAAGCAACGATGTCAACTAAACGTACCGCAGTCATTCGGAAATGAGTGCGCGCCACATTTTTGCCCGCTTAATAGTTTATTACGCGTCGTATCCTAAAAGTAATGTTGTTATGCTGTTGCGACAACAACTCACAGCATTCCGCCAGAGTGCGCTGTGGCTTAACGCATGGCTAAGACCGCTGCAGTTTGGGAAGTGTAGAATGTGATAGCGCTCAGTGTTGAACCGCGTAAAAGTTAACTAAAGAATGCCATGTTACACCAGCCCAAAGTATGAATTACGTGTATTCGTTGTCTGTTTATACTACATTCTTTTCCGGGTAACCGGCATTTCTGGGACTATGCTGTTTCAGTTTGGTGCCATAGTAGACGCTAAAAACACGTATAGCTATGGAAACTTCTGTAACGTCATGACGAGCCACTATCCGGGGCCCAATGAACGGGATCACAATCCTGTTGACGAGTCTGGCGGTGGTTTTATAAACTGTAATACAAATAGTTTGTGCAAATTCTAGAAGGGCCGACTCCTGGTTGCGCGTTTGTTCCGCAGTTGTTTTGACTAGAAAGGATGCTTCAGATGAGACCTAATCACTCTCGTATAATGATGTTATCTCACTAGGGGTTTAGTCACATGTAGAGGAAAAGATCACATATACGTTAACTCTCCTCTACGGTAACTATGAAAACGGTAGTGACGGCATCTCATAATGCACTTTTCGCATCCATCTTTAGATAAGTGACCGTAACTGGCTCCGCGTGTCCGCCTAAACTGTCCAGGAACAAGTCGGATGCCAAAGTGAAGCTAGCCTTAAGCAGCCGAATTCCATAGTTTCAGATAAATCGAAAAGAAATCCAAACGGCATCTTGGCAATATTATACGAAGGTTAGGCGCTTACACAAACCGACCAACTTACTTTCGGCGTATATCACCTCCCCTCTAGGCCAAGGTCCGTCTGCCGTCGATCGTGTGCCGTATGTGTTAACGTTTGGGCTTGCATGCTTTTCAGAATCGAGATGAATAGATCTGGTCACTGTGACAGGCGTTGTATTGCCAAAGGCCTCTGTGGTCATAGAAGTTATGTGCAAACCGGGAATGCGTGAAAAGACTTCACCTGCCGGGAACAGAGAATGGGCGGAACAACGGAACAATGAGGTAACACGGGCAAAAGGACTCAACAAGACCCATGGGATGGTAATTATTGAGAAACTAAAATTCATGAAGTAGAATCGTTCTGGTGGACTCACCATAGATGTGTATAAGAGCTGAGTTGTTCGCGTGGCAGTTTAGATACACACAGCAGGTCAATACAACTTATAAAATGAAATGTCAATGTGGTAACGTTATGTGAAGTCATTTTTTTAACTATTGTTAGTTTGAGGGCAAAGGCGGTATAATTTGGGGAGCGTTCCACGGCTGATACACGCGGAAGGAAAACCATTGCTACAGCATTCCAGATAGCAATACTGTGTTGTCAGTTTCAGAGGAAGACTTCTTAGCTAGGAGTTGTGGTTCAGTTCTAGTAGCGGGCGGTAAATCTGGTTGGATTATTAAGATTATGGCAAACCATTACGAGGTCCCTTCTTAAACGCCGATTTCGACTCAGGTTTATTTCCAGGAATTTTAATGTAAGCTGATAAGGCATATAGTAGGGGTCCCTAACGTTCTTGGCTGACCTTCGCTGAGGAGGATCGATAGCACGGAGATCCCGTTTCTGCCACGGCTGCCAAGGCTGAATAGTATATTCCACTTGTGGTCGCACGTATGCGTTAGGCACTTGTGGGAAGAGTGAGGGTTAAAACCGACCAAACGCTTTACGAAGAAGACAGAAGTGTTGATTACCGGTTCTCGACGCCATCGCTGCTTGCTTTGAGCATCCGAGAACTTCCTGTATCAGTACACCCAATTCACGCTTCTGAGAGGTCTTCTGCAAGAGTTGGTCTCCCAGCTTGTACACGTTCATCGGCTGGTGACGCAGGTAAATCACATTGTACTTAGTTGTGTTCAACAGGAGTAGGTTCCTTGTTGACCATTCATAAATGTAATGCAGGCCATGTTGGAATAGACCGTGATTTTCCTTGTCATTAATTGCTCGCCATGTCTCAACATCATCGTCGAAAAGCAGAAACTCGAGGATAAAACTCTTGTCATATCGCTGAGAAACACAGGAATAGGCACTTTTCCAGCACCAATAGTAAATCGCTGTCTGGTCAACTGGTTTATTTGAATCAGCCACCACGCTTATCGTCTCCATTGAAGATGTGCTTTACGGTTTATGACCACACTGAATAAGCAAACGAGTAATGACGTCTGGTTCGCCATCATAAAGCGGGCATGGTATTGTTTGTTCTCGAAAAAATGAAAGCATCAAATATTCAGGCTGCTGGCGAAAACCATGGTGTGCACAGGCTTTAATGAATTGTTCATAAACGTTGCTAGTGAATTTTGATGACACAAATATATCGTCTATTATTACATACCGATAAGAATGTGACAACCCTCTCCCAGAAAATCCACAAGTTAGGAAGTTCTAGGCTTAGGCAACTTGTGTTTGTCCAGCAACCATTCACCATTGTATCGGATCGCATGATAATTTAGCGTTGTCTATGCAACATTGATTTCACGTCTCTCACTCTTATCGATCTTATGTGTTCATTGTTACCTCACTCGTCTGAAACAAACCACAGGATTTTCAAGTGAAAGCAAGATAAACCAGCTATGAAGTAACCATCACGAAATTCACCTGTCTCAGTGCACTTCTTCATCAGAGACATTGTCCGCCCTAACGCGATCAATGAACAAAACACTCGTTGCTAACGATTTTTGCACGTGTGGTTGCTAGCCTCCTACTCAGATTTTCACAGATGAAGTAAAGGGGAGGAATTGCAACCATTTATGGGAACACCTTCGGTGACGTGTACGCGCAGCATCTTACCCCATGGACTATGATCGCCTGGCTTACAGTGTGCATTAAAGATATCCAAGAAGAAGAACAACACTCGAGCTGTAAAGCAGACTGCTCTACTAATAAGTCGGCTAGTTCTGCGGACAGCGTTTATAGCAATCGTTTAGTTAAAATGCTCGTTTTGCGAAAAGAATGCTGGAGAAATCCTTTCTTGGACTGTAGTTTAGTTCAAAGCGAAACCCGTTCCTTTCGCACACTATGATCACAACTGAAGAATAGTAACGTCAAAGATTGCTCATTCTCATTTTGGCAATCAGTTACCCGTTTCGCGTGCGGGCTAGTGTTCTGTAGAAAGCAAGAGCACAAGTAGGGATGGAGCATGCATGCACATGGATGGACTCGGCATGTAATGACTCCCACTCGGGAGAACCATATTTTAGATTTGTTGTTTACGATCGACCTAACTGCAACTGTCACTTATCACAGAGTGATCTCCATCCCACACAGTGTTAATGCATATATACAAAAGCAGACTTGCCAAATGCACACGTGATTATCAGAAGTTATGGAGCTACCGACTGAGATTGTTTGCTAACTTGATTACAGCGGAGCAGGGGGACACATTCTTCCTCGCTGGTGACCAACAGATTGCAGCAGACGAGTTATATAGCAACATACCCCGCTTTGGGGATGCGTCGATCCTTGTGAATCATAAAGGCTATCACTGGTGAAGAACCTACGCAACACAAGCTGGCTGCAACGCTCAAAAGAGGGAGCTTTATTAGTACAGCATCAATAGTTAATTAACAATAAAGAGAGCGTCAACCAGGCCATGCAAGCTGAAAGTAAAATGCGTGCGCTCGGTAGCTAAATCAGCAAACACAAACTATTTAGTTTGTTGAAGCGCAAAACCGCGTAGCGGAATCTAGGCCTCATTTCGCTTTTGTCAACGGGTAACTACATAGTGAATGATCAGATTTGTCCAAACGGTGCTTAGCAGATGTTTCCAAGCGTCATTCAAGGAAAAGAATGAATCTGTGACTCTGAATCCGCCGCATCACACAACCAACTCAACAATGTCCGATTTGAACTCTGCGAGATAAGCAAATCTGTCAATTACACTGACGTAACTTATTTAGCTGGTCCGGACTATCTCTCATCCGCTGTCGTAAAACTCGATAGCGACGACATCCCCCTACCGTTACTGAATCTATTCACCTTATATATAGGTTCTGGTGCCATACCGCCTTACTGAAAAGAAACCATAGTAACGCCGAGTCACAAATTATGTACACTTTTTGAACTCAAAGCTATTGACCCACTAGTCTATCTTATTAAAGAAGATGAAGTGTCATATAACATCCAAAACGGTCAAATACTTACTATCTGGAAAATTAATAAAATGTTTACAGCATGGATTTCTGCGCTCCAGATCTTGAGTCGCCTGCCACTTGGCATTTCTAAATCAGCTTATTAATTTGCATCTTCATGGCTATTCTGAAATTGTCATCTACCTCGGCATGCTACACTCATGCACTTACATTACGGCAGGCAATCCTCTAAGTACGTGTGTCAACCTAATACAGCCAATCAACTTGCTCATTTTCAATCACTGCACTTTATTTAATAAACGCTGCGATCGTGAAAACTAGATTCACAAATCACACCCGTCCAAGGAAGAGACACACGAGTGGGCGCTATCGTTTCCTTTGCGAGCACATGCAAATCCCATTTCTACCTATCGTTAGGCAACCGTGCAGTTAGATCGCTAAACGCTTAAACTGGAGATTCACCTAGCTTTTAAGTTTTTCAGTTTTCACTCCAACCATCCTACGGGACTTGTCAAGCACCTGCTATTTCACCTTTGATAAAGTGAAGTTCAGTATGCATTAAGTCTTCTAATGTGCAGCACGTAGCCGTCTTCCAGATAAACCGCAGACCTACGGAATAGAGACTTTTCTCTTCTAGGTTTCAGCATGTACGTCTCTGGTAACTCATAAGTGATCCAAACACGACAATATAAATCGCAACTCATGACTGTTATCCGTAGGGTTAGATGAAACAGTGTTCTTGGTGCAATCCACCACTCTGCTCAGTACGATAATCGTCTAAACCAGACTCCCCACCCGCGATCGTTTGACACGCGGACCCAAGACACAAAGCACCATCAGCCAGCCAGCTGACCTTAACCTGACGAAAGGCGACCGAACGCCTGCCGACAGTAAGGCAATGCTTACCAGGAACACAGGCGACCACAATTCGGCCATCATGACCACTACACTGGGAACACGAAGCGAAGTATTAGGTTTTAATCAAACAGGTGCTAAGGTAGGAAAGCCGAGCTGACATATGCCAATTGCATTAGTCGTTATCCTGCGAGGAGCATCAGAGTCTATCGAATCGAAATGCAAAGATTCAATGCGCTAGGCTAACTTTGGTTCCATCTTAAATGTACGGCGGTTCCACGTGTAAAATGCGTACTAACATTAGCGCAGAAACACGACAGTGTAGTCGCCGAAACCGAACATCGTTTAAATGCAAAAATTTCTTCGAATATTTTGCACCTCATCCGTCTTCCCCAATTTCTATCTCGAAACCAAGATAAAGGGCCAGGCCATCCCACAACCACGCAGTATTAGCAAAATCGGAAATAGGAACCAATTTGTCGTCGCGAACGATAGAAGCGTGCATGCCTCCACCACCTCGGTTCCATTGTTTAATGTACAGACAGAAACAACATCGGTAACGCCCGCCCTTCCGATCGACCAACGAAGGCCGAGACGCTCTAAAGACCGATCCACTTATGCAACCGTTGCTTCTCTATATAATCAAAGTTCGACTTTAGTGGCCTCACTCGGTACAGCCACTAAACCGGTCAAGGACTAGGCGCAACCTGCTGAGACGTCACCAAAGCCATCGATAAGCACGCCACTCACATCACCGAAGATCAGGCGGAACTGCGGTGCCTTGGCACTTGTATTCACTAAACTTCTTGAGTCCAAGGCAACCCCCCCCTAAGGGGTAAACAGCAGAATGTATTAAAGCAGTGGAATTTCCTTTGTGATAGCATCGAAGTCAAAGCCAGGCTAATTAATTTAATGCGCATCACTAGACATCTCTTCTCAACGAGCTACGGGGGTTCTGGCTAATACAAGTAAGATTTGGATC